CCCCTCTCTCCTCTCTTACTCTCTGTGTGTATCTCTCTTTACTCTCTCTCTTGCTTTCTCTCTCATTTTTTTCACTCCTCTGTCTCTTTCGTCTCTCTCTCTCTCTCTCTCGCTCTCTCTCTCCCACATGCTCAGATGACATATGTTCTGTTTTCTGATCATCTGTGCTGCATGTTTCATTTTTATCTCCTAATCATTTATTTATTTTCTTTGATTTTTCCGTAACGTGTAAAACTGTGTGTGTGAGTGTGGGTGTGTGTGTGTGAGTGTGTGTGTGTGAGTGTGTGTGTGTGTGTGAGTGTGTGTGTGTGTGGGAGTGTGTGTGTGTGTGTACGGCTCCCAGGACGGAGCAGAAAGATGAGTTAGAGCACAATAACGCACGCCCCAATAAATGCACTATATTACTGCGTTATCGATCGATTGGACTCAACATGTGAGTGTGTGTGAATTTTTTGAAACAGGAGTGTGTTCACTGAATAGTAACACAAACCAGGGCGTTGTATCGTCACTGTGATAACAGAACTACCTACAGGAGGAGGAGGTGTATGTTGATGAGTTTTATTCTGAGTAATTCTGAGTTCTTACTCTACTCCGAAATGAGAATGAAAATGAGACACACACTGTGTGTGTGTGTGTGTGTGTGTGTGTGTATATATATATATATATATGTAAATAAAAACAGAATGCAATGATTTGCGAATCTCATAGAGCCTTATTTTATTCACAATAGAACACAGAACACATATCAGATGTTGAAAGTGAGACATTTTACCATTTCATGAAAAACATTAACTCATTTAGAACTTGATGGCAGCAACACATCTCAGAAAAGTTGGGACAGGGCCGTGTCCACCGTCGTATAGCATCCCCTCTTCTTTTAACAGCAGCCTGTAAACATCTGGGAAGTGAGGAGACCAGTTGCTGGAGTTTTGGGAGAGGAATGTTGTCCCATTCTTGTCTGATGTAAGATTCTAGCTGCTCAACAGTTCTGGGTCTTCTTTGGGTCTTCTTTGCCGGATTTTTTGTTTCATGATGTGCCGAATGTTTTCTGTTGGTGGAAGGTCTGGACTGCAGACAGGCCAGTTCAGCACCTGGACCATTCTTCTTCAAAGCCATGCTGTTGTGATGGATGCAGTATGTGGTTGATTGTCTTGCTGAAATATGAAGGCCTTCCCTGAAAGAGACGCTGTCTGAATGGGAGCACATGTTGTTCTAAAACCTCTATATACTGTTCAGCATTGATAGAGCCTTTCCAGATGTGTAAGCTGCTCACACCATAGGCACTAATGCAACCCCATGCCATCAGAGATGCAGGCATTTGGACTGTGCGCTGATAACAAGCTGGATGGTCCCTCTCTTCTTGAGTCCGCAGGACACAGCGTCCATGGTTTCCAAAAAGAATTTCAAATTTTGATTCATCTGACCACAGAAGAGTTTTCCATTTTGCCTCAGTCCATTTTAAATGCGCTTTGGCCCAGAGAAGATGGCGGTGTTTCTGGATTGTGTTCACATATGGCTTCTTCTTTGCATGATACAGCTTTAACTTGCATTTGTGGATTTCACGGCGATCTGTGTTCACAGACACTGATTTCTGGAAGTGTTCCTGAGCCCATGCAGTTGTTTCCAGTACAGAATCAGGCCTTTTTTCAACGCATTGCCGCCTGAGGGCCCGAAGATCGCGAGCGTCCAATATTGACCGTCAGCTGGATTTTACATTGAGGAACATTTTTTCTGAAATTGTTCCACAATTTTTTGATGCAGTTTTTCTCAGATTGGTGAACCTCTGCCCATCTTTGCTTCTGGGAGACTCTCTCTAAAATGCTCTTTTTATACCCAGTCATGTGAGTTAGTTGCAAACTGCTCCTCCTGCTGTTTTTTATTAGTACCACTTACTTTTGTTGCCCCTTTCCCAACTTTTTTGCAATGCATTGCTGCCGTCACGTTCTAAATGAGTTAATGTTTTTCATGAAATTGTAAAATGTCTGATATGTCTTCTGTGTTCTATTGTGAAAAAAAAAGGCTCTATGGCGAATCACTGCGTTCTGATTTTATTTACATTTATTTACATTTTACACAACTTTTGGGGTTGTAGATATAAAGTACAGAAAGAGAGCTAGATATATAGTAGAGAGAGAGAGAGATATAGAGTAGAGAGAGAGAGAGAGATAGAGTAGAGAGAGAGGTAGATATATAGTAGGGAGAGGGAGACAGATATAGAGTAAAGAGAGAGAGTGATATACAGGAGAGAGAGACAGATAGAGAGTAGAGAGAAAGACATGAGAGAGATAGGCAGCAAAGAAAGAGAGGTGTGGAGTCAGGGGAGAAAGAGTAGTGAAGAGATAGAGAGAAGGAGTGAGTGAAAGAGGGAGAGTGCATGAGAGAGAGAGAGACAGAGAGAGAGAGTGGTGGAAGCTTGCAGCCTCTCTAAAAGTGATTTGATAAATGGGCAGTTATTGCGGTGGCAAATTGTCCTGAAAGCAATTTGAGGCCCAGCGCAGTGACCGTTAAAGCAGCAGAATATTGATCTTTTAGAACTAATATAGTGAATATATCAGGCTGGACCTACAGCTTCGACTGCAGACACCACACACACACACACAACACTCTATACTGTTATCGAAGAAGAGAGAGAGGGGTAGAGAGACACCATGAGGGAATAAGAAGTAAGATTGTTGTGAAGAAACAGAGACGTGTGTTTGAGAGTAAAATGATTCAAAAAAGGAATTAAAGTGAGGTTTAAGACTTAGAAAGTGAAATGTAAGGCAGGTTTGTTTGTTAGAGCCTGGCCAGTATGAAAAGTTTGTCACAGGTTTTATGGAGATAAAAAAGTAAACAACTGATAATAGTGTTTAAAAATTACACTGATTCCAGTTGATTTAGGTAAACAATGCTTTACTGACTGACACTCAAAGTCTTAAGTAACATAAATATGAAAGATAGCTATAAATAACCTCATCACCTTATAACCTTATAACAGGTGAATAACATTAAACCGCAATGTTAGATTCTCACTTACATACTTAAATAACTCCAAAAGAGATGTTATCAATGGTTACTGGTGGGATAACCAGACACGTTCTGCAAGAAACAGTGGTTGAAAATTCCTAAAACGGGAATAGAAAGAATTCTTGCTGCCTACAAACACCATTTAAGTACTGACTTAGTAGGGTGTCCAAACTTTTGCACAGCCCTGCAATTACTATTTTGGTCTTTTCTATTTTTAAAATTAAAATCAACAGAAAATATTTCAGTAAGGTGTTGGGTCACCACGAGCTGCCAGAACAGCTTCAGCTTCACTACATCTTGGCGTAGATGGAGCACCATTCTTCCAAAAGATATCCCATCAGTTGGTGTTCTGATGGTGGTGGAGTAGTGCCCTCTTACATATCAGTCCAAAATATTCACAGTGGTTGAGATCTGGTGACTGTGAAGGCCAAAGAATACGACTTGCATCATTTTCATTCTGATCAAACCATTTAGTGACCCCTCATGTCTTGTTGATGGAGGCTTTATCATCCTGGAAGACAGCACTCCCATCAGGATAGAAATGTTTCATCATAGGATAAAGGCAATCATATTGATTTTCAGTGACCCTTCCCTCTGAGAGGACAAACCATGCCGGCAAAATGCCCCACACTAGCAAAACAAAGTCGCTTCGATGTAGAGGTCAAGCATTCAGGCTTGAACCATTCTCTTGGTGTACACTGCACATGAAATCTCCCACTTGTAGGGAACGTGATAAAGGGTGACTCATCTGATCATATCACTTTTTCCACAGAAGGAAAGTTCCCTCTCAGTCCGGGACGCCTTGTAGCTGCGGTGTACCAGAGCTCCAGCCAGCCCGAGAATCCTCCTGGTCCAGAAAGAATTCTTAGCTATGGGGAAGTTCCCTCAGCCTGGAAGACCTTGTAGCTTAGGTGTAGTGTCACACAGGCAGCTGGCTCAGGAAACGTTGTAGCCTGGAA